CTTTTATATTTCCCAACTTGGGGATGTTTAATTATACAAATATAAAGAGGTTCTAGCACGTGCTTTTAATTTTTTTAAAGATTTATTTATTTTGGGGAGAGAGAGAAAGAGAGACACATTGAGAGAACAAGTAGGTGAGGGGTAGAGGGAGAAGCAGACTCCCTGAGGAGCAGGGAGTCCAACGTGGACAGGCTCCATCCTAGGACCCTGGGATTATGACCTGAGCCCAAGGCAGATGCTTAACCCACTGAGCCACCTAGGCACCCTAGCATGTGCTTTTAGTGTTACATATTTAACTGTGTTTTTTTGTTTTGTTTTGTTTTCAATACATTTAAAAAATTATATTAATGTAACTTTAAGTCATTTGTATTTTAAAGAAAATTTAATTTAAAACAACACTATGTTTCTTTCATAGATTCAGTGTTTTTTGATTCAAATCCTGATTTGTATGCTACTCAAAGTGCAAACACTGGTTTTGAATTAAACCTGTATTTTGAGCACTGAAGAATAATTCAAAAGGAAATATTTAATGTCTCCTTGTTTTCTTTCTTTCAAGAGAAAAAAAAGTGTTCCACTTGAGTAAAGGCTAAACTGCCATGATAATTCAAACAATTAGAAAGGAAAAGATTAAGATTTGCAGTTGTATGGAGATGGAAACATCTCATTCTGGATTTGGAAGATCCAATTGTTAACTAAACTCAGCAATCATTATTCTCTAAGTTGTTAAAATGGTTAAACATTTATATAAGGTACCTAAATTCTTTCTTGCTTTGGATTTCAACTGAGATTCTTTATATTTTATCTAGAGTGATAATTGCTTTCTTTTAATTTGTTTTCAACCAAATAAAGATAATCACAGTTATGCTGACAAGATATTCAGGAAAAAAAAAAAAAGAGGTTATAACTATATCTCTTTTAGGATTTACTATTTGACCATAACTCCAATTCTGAGAATTCAATCAACTAGTTTAAAGTTATTTTTTTCAAATCATTATGACTTAAAATTACATTAAAATAATTTTATATATATATATATCTTTACATCTATGACAGATGGGTATCTGTCATAGGTATTAATCTATTATCTTTCTATCATAATCAAAGCATAGTCTTAGTTTATTTTTAATTGAAATTCTGGGGCCTAAATCTGGAGATCATTCCTAGTTTCCTAATAGGTTGGGAGATTTGTGGTTAAGAGCCTAAACTTTTTAGCAGACTTTGGTGGTATTTTTAGATAATGTTTCTATGACTGGACCAACTGGATTTCCAAGTTTTCAGTTAGGGTGAAAAATAATCCATCTGATCCAATCCTCAGAAGTGGAGCTCGGCAAAAAGAGTGGATTCAGCATTCTTATAATTAAATGGCCCATGTAAATGACTGATTTACAAATTTAGTTAATAACTGAGGTCTCAGCGGTTTTTGGCAATGGGAACACAGCCTCTCGCTGGTGACAGTTGCTTTACGTCTTTAAATTACACCTTTGGCTAGTAGCTCAGTGGTTACTGCTCCACACTAAGAAGGCCATCAAAACTAGTCTTGTCTAATTCATAGACAGCTATATTACTCTTTTCAACTACCCTGCAATAGATGCAAATCTATCACCATTGCTAGAAACACAACTCCAGGAGAGTGCCTTAGCAACGGGGGTATGTGGTAGGATAGCTTTTTAACAACCCACTACCACCTCATGGGACAGCCAGCACCACCACACTGGGGCTATGATACAAAGAGAGAAAATTACTCTTGGTTCTTGCTACCATTTCTCTGTATAGTTGTTGGTAAGTAATAGAACCTCTCTATTCCTGACTTCCCATTTGTTTCATTAAAATAATATTAACTGTTAAGAATGATGGAAAGATCAATTGGCTTAATCAGGTAGCATTTTTAATTCCTTGCAGGTGTTACTTACACCTGAGCTGTAATTCAGTCAACAAACAGGGTTTATTTGGTCCTCACAGTGTACAGATTCCAAGATAGTTCTAAGAACTTCTGAGAATTATAAAGGAAGTAGAGAACACATCTCTATTCTCAAGGAATTATTATCCTTCAGGTGAGATAGGACCAACCGCAGTGAAAGTTGGCAGGCAGACTAGCAAAATATAACCAACTGCAGCCACTGACAAGTACTCTGATGTTTCTCCAGTGGTCTGTGACCAGACTCAGATGTGGAGAACTGGAAGCTTTGCTGGACCCCAAGGATGGAAATCAAGGCTTACAGGATGGGCTCACTACTGAGGGTATAATTATTTTGGTAAATCATTTTAGTGTAATCTCATGCTACAGTATAATTTTTGTTTGAAAGGTTTTATTGTGCAGAATAAATTTTTATGGTAAAAAAGGATAGATTCAATCTAGTAAAACTACATGTTGGTTATCATTAAAATTATCACTTTTGTTAATATACAACTTTCCCCCTCCAAAAAAAAGAATTGCACATATGTACATAAATGATGGTTTAAATGTCTAGCTTTGGGAGACTGATGAGTTAATGCAAAAGTAGCAGAGAGCAATGCATATACTGCATATGCTACTGAACTTGAAAGATATTTAATAATAACTCACTTCCTTTACTGCATGTAAAGATATTAGTCGACCCTTGAATAAATGGAGGTTAGGGGTACTGACCCCCTGCACAGTGAAAATTCATGTATAACTTTGACTCTCCCCCCAATATTTTTTAAAAGATTTTATTTGACACACACAGAGAGAGAGAGAGAGCACAAAAGCAGTGGGAGAGGCAGAGGGAGAAGCAGACTCCCTGCTAAGCAGGGAGCCCAATGTGGGGATAGATCCCAGGACCTTGGGATCATGACCTGAGCCAAAGCCAAAGCATCTGCTTAACCAACTGAGCCACCCAGCACCCCTGCCTCTTCCCAAATTTGACTATGAATAATCTATTGTTGACCAGAAGCCTTACCTATAACAAATGGTCAATTAACATATATTTTGTATGTTATATGGATTACATACTTCATTCCTAGAATAAAGTAAGCTAGAGAAAAGAAAATGTTATTAAGAAAATCATAAGAGAAAATATGTTTACAGCACTATACTGTATTAAAAAAAAAAAAAAAATCCGCATGTAAGTGGGCCCACCCAGTTCAAGCCCGTGTTGCTTAAGGGTCAAGGGTCCACTAAATCAGAGACTATGCTAAGAGGGGAGGATAGCTAAGCAATATCATCAAATCTCAAAGGAGAAATTACCCAGACAAAAGCCCTAAACTTAGCTATTAACTGTATCTTCATCAGCACAGCTAAAAAAGTTCTCATAAATTGATTTGCAGCATCTTAATATTAAAACAAAATAAAAATCCAGAGCAGGTTATGTTGTCCAACTGATATTCGTCAAGCTCAAATATCTGTTATGGAGCTGCAAGTAATTTCTTCTGTTGCATGTCTACCTACATTGCCTGCTCCATTACTTTCTTCTAGAGTGTCCCTTCTGCAAAATTTGCTTAATCATCTGGATTGTGCTTATGTGGGGGTTCACTTTGTGGTAATCATTATGATTCATGCTGTATATCTCAACTTAAAAGAAAATAAGTCTTAGTTGAGACTCACTTTCATGAATCCTTACCACACTTGCTTGATCTTATAATCAGATCTCTAGTTTTTAAGTGCTTAAATATGCTTATGAATATCTGTGTACCATTACAGAAAGTTGTTATACCCTTGTCATCTGTTTCTTTGTGTATTTTCAGTTTACTTGAGTTTATTCACTTTCTTGTGAAACCTTCATTTCTTTGCTTGCCATCTCCTTCTTTTAAATTTAAAGTTGATTAATTAACCTAGAGTATATTATTAGTTTAGAAGGTAGAGTTTAATGATTCATCAGTTGCATAGAACACCCAGTGCTCATTATATCAAGTGCCCTCCTTAATGCCCATCACCCAGTTATCCCTTCCCCTCACCTACCTCCCCTCCAGCAACCTTCAGCTTATTTCCTAGAGTTAAGAGTCTCTTATGGTTTGTCTCCCTCTCTGATTTTGTCTTATTTTATTTTTCCCTCCCTTCCCCTATGTTCATCTGTTTTGTTTCTTAAATTCCACATGAGTGAAATCATATTGCCATCTTCTTTGTAACTCTCCTACATTAAGGTAGAGTAGGCAATGGTGCGTTGGTTAACCAGATATTAAAAAAAAAAAAAAGCCCAGATTTCAATTGCCAGTTTCTGTGGCATATATAGTCCCCAATTTCAAAGTTCCAAGGTTTCATATCCAGCTCAAAAATTCTGGAATATTTAACAATTGACTCTCATGAGCTAATAAGAGCTGGCTCGAACTGTGTAGGTAAACAATAATATTACTCCTAGTTTTGCAGTGACTTAGAACAGCATTTCCACTAACTGCTCATTCACTCATACCACCACAAAATTTTTCCAGCTGCAGGCATAGACAATCGACATATTTCAGTGTGGAATCAATGACGGGTAAAAATTGTTCCCTCTGTGCATCCCTGTAGAGCTAAAGCTAAATAAGCCAATTTGCTGAATTACTTAGAACCAAGTATTTATTGCATCACAAACAGATATTTCCCACTTGTCGGAAAATGTAATAGAGCCAAGATACCAGTTGCTGTTTGTTTTCTGCCATAAGTGCTGACTAAATGGAACGGATATTCAATAAGCTGTATTAAACCTAAGGATGCATTTTCAAAATAGTGAGAGGGCAAATCAAGAGGCAACATTAATGTCAGAGGGAATTATGGGTATGAACACTTTCTGTTACTGTATAAACCTGCCCCTGCTACAAAATGTTCAGGGGCATAAATAATGACTACATAGAAGGGTTTTGCTCTTGGAAGTTCAAACAGAAAGGCAACTGACATTTTCAATGTCAACATTTTGGAGGACATTTTCCTGATTTATGAGGATGCCTATTAGTTCAGCATGCACTGACAAGAAAAAAAAAAAAACAACCAGAAGGAAAATAAAGGTTAAAAGATTTGAAATATGGTAGGGAAAATGTTTTAAGAAACATTGATTCTACTGAAAATAAAAATCCAGGGTTCTTCTACTATAATCAAATGATATGGAAGGTAGAGGAAAGGAACACTGTGAAACTTCTCTCCCCAAATCATCATGACTTCAAATTTCCTGGGGGCAGGGGACATGCCCGGAAATTGAATGCAAGCCCCTTTACCCTCTCCTCCCTGCTCCCACCTTCAAATGTGGATGGGAGATTTGGCCCTGCTGTACTTCTGGATACTGACCCACACATCCACCTTCCCAGTGTTGGCACCACTACAAGCCATGGTGACAGAAGGGACATCATAGTGCAGTTCTCACTCTATTTCACTTGTGATCTTCTCTTTCTTTTTTTATGCATGCCTGTGCTAATCTTACCACTCATATCTGTCTTCTCCCTACCTTCAGCTTCCTTTCCTCATTTGCAGTGGTGCGTGTTGAGAGTAGACTTTCTGAGGAAAGTTTTCCTGTCATGACTGGCTCCTATAATCATAGCATAAAAACCACCAAGTTATAACCTTTTCACCTGTCAACACCTAAACCAAATGCCATGCTTATTAAATACAAATGAAAACAAGTATCACAGTTTGGCTTCCACAGGAAGCAATCTCTGAAACAGAGCTTAATGTTCAGGGAATGCCCTTGTGATCAACACCCATAGGAAGGAGGGGGTAAGTGGGACTGGGAAGAAGCTGAGCTTCAATGCAGGCTTGACAGCCTCAGCCACGGGGAGTTCTGGAGCCAAAAAGGCTCATCTGAACTGTCCCATTTTGGGTGGAAATGGTTGGTCCTTTGTATTCCTACCTCCAGCCATTATTAGATGAGTTTTCCTCTGAAGGACATGACCTTGGTGAGGTGGCTATTTGTAGGTAAGGTGTTCCCTGAAGGGACGGAAAGCTGTTCCACTGAAACTCTCACGGCAACGATGGGAATAAGTCCTTCCTTGAAGGGGGATTTGAGCACCTCTTCATGTCCACCCCTGCATATCTCCTTATCCTGAAAAATATCTACCATCACTCACACATCTTACTTCCTTCATAAGAGCACAAAAGGCTACTGAGCAATATGTCAAAAACTATTTGTGATTTCAACAAATGGTGCTGGAACAATTAGATAGCCATAGGCAATAAACAAACAACACCCCTGAACCAAACCTCTTACTTTATACAAATATTAACTCAAAATGAATCATGGACTTAATGTAAAACCGTAAAATAATGTAAAACCATAAAACTTTTAGAAAAGGACAAAGGAGAAAATCTTTGGGACCTCAGGTTAGGCAAAGAGGTCTTAGACAACATCAAAGCATAAGCACATTAAAAAATCAATACATTGGATTTCATTAGATTAAAAACTTTGTTCTGCAAAAGCCCATGTGATGAGGATGAGAACACAAGCTGCCTAAGGGAGAAAATATTTTCAGACCATATATCTGACAAAGAACTAGTATCTAGAGAACATAAAAAGTTCTTGAAACTCAACAGTTAGAAAATGGGCAAGAGACATGAACAGACATTTCATTAAAAAGGATATAAGCATGTGAAAAGACGCTCAACATCACTAGTCATCAGGGAAATGCAAATTTCAAAATATAGTGGCTTAAAACAACCACCAATTTTGTTTTTGTTTTCACCAGCCTCTGGGTCAGGAATTTAAGCTCATCTGGACACAGACTTTACCTGGTGTCGGTTGATGTCATTTACTCAGCTGCATTCGGTGGAGAGTGGGCTGGAAATCTTAGAAGTCTGGTGCTGCAGTGCTCTCCACATGGCCAGCAGAACTTCCTCACAGCATAGTAGACTCGGGGTAGTCAGACTTTCAAAAGGAATTATAAGAATTGGTAAATATTGAAGCTCTCAATCCCTTAAGTTCCAGCGGTGGAAATTGCAGCATCATTTCTGCCACGTTTTAATGGTCAAAACAAATCACAGCTCAGACTGAAGGGGAGAGAAAATAGATTCCAACTTTCAATGTGAGAAGCAGTAAAGAATTTATGACCTTCTTACTCTACCATGGGGGTGATTACTTAATTATTTGAAAAAATACTTCTCTGTGGGAAGTTTTTAAAAAATAAGTTTTTAAAAAATTCAAGCTTTAAAAAATAAATATTGAGTTGTTCAAGTTTCTTATTTTTATCTTGTCAGTTTTTGGCAAATAATGTTCTCTAAATATCTTGTCTATTTTATCTAAGTTGTCAAATTCATTGGCATAAAGCTATTTGTAATATTGCCTCCTTATCATCCTAATGTTGGTAAGATCTGCGGTCACATCCTTTTTCCAAACCTGATAGTCTTCATTCATGCTTTTTTTTTTCTTGATTAGTTAGCTAGGAGTTTATCAATTTTATTAATCTCAAAGAACCAACTTTTGGCTCATATTCCATGGATTTTGCTTTGTCTACCTATCAGTATGCTCTGGAGAGCTTTCCAAATTAGTGCATATAGATTTACCTCATTTTTATTAATTGCTGTCATGGTATTTCATATTATGGGAGTATTTAATCATGGGCATTCTTATTAATTTTGTTTCTTTTCTTTCCTTCTTTCTGTTAGAGTAACCGAAGGAAACATCCTTTTATATGTCTCTATGTGCACATGAGAAAGGCCTGATACCCAGAAATTAAATTGCTGGGTCAGAGAGTTAATTTTACATTTTCAGACAGGTAACTTCCAAACCGTTTTCCAAATGGCTGTATCAACTGGCACTCCCATGGACTGGGTAGATGTATTCCCCATTGATCCAGGTTCTTGCCAATACTTAGCACCATGAACCTTTTTCATTTATGTCATCATGGTTTGAATTTCCATTTCCTTGATCCCAGGTGAGTAGAAGCATCTTGTGCCTGTTTATGGCTTGACAGTTTTCTCTTCTGAGAAGGATTTTTAAACTCTATTTTCTACTTTTTTATTATTTAATTTTTCTTTATATATTGAAGATATTAAACATAGGTCTGTTTCAAATTTTCGCATTGTGTTTTATTATGCCTGTCTTTTTTCACACAGAGATTTGACATTTTGATGTGGTGGGATTACTCACTCCTTTCCTTTAGGGCCTGCTAAAGGATCTTTAGAATCTTGCTAGGGGAGGCCTTTCATCTGCTTCGCAAGAGTTCAACTGATATTCACTGGCTAGTCAGAGTCTCATGTCTCTGGAGGGCAATTCTACCCTGAGTTCTAGAATCCAGCCCTTAAGGGACCACACCCCTCTTCCCCCCACCCCTCTGTGGTAGAGCTCTTAATTCCCAGTCCTTCACTCCAAATTTTAACATCTATAACAACTGCCTTCTCATCAATCTCCTCCTTCCATACACATCTTGAAAACAACTTGGAACCACAGAACACCAGAAGGAATGTAGAGAATCATCCAGTTTCAAACTCTCATTTTCATAAATGAGTATAAGATCTAGACCTTACTGTCCAACATGGTAGCCATTAGCCCCATGTGGATTTTTAAATTTAAGTTAATTAAAATAAAAAATTCAGTCACACTAGACAGATTTCAAATGCTCTATAGCTACATGTAGTTCATGGCTACTTTACTGGACAGTGGGATTTAGACCATTTTCTTTTTTCTTTTTTTTTTTTTTAAAGATTTTATTTATTTATTTGAGAGAGAGAATGAGATAGAGAGAGCATGAGAGGGGGGAGGGTCAGAGGGAGAAGCAGACTCCCCGCTGAGCAGGGAGCCCGATGCGGGACTCGATCCCAGGACTCCAGGATCATGACCTGAGCCGAAGGCAGTCGCTTAACCAACTGAGCCACCCAGGCGCCCTAGACCATTTTCATCACTGCAGAAAGTTCCAGTGGTTGCTCTAGAGCTTCGTTATTTAAAGGGTGGTGTGCAAAACCACAGGCATCACTGGGAGCTGATTAGAAATAATCTCTATTAATTAATAATTAGGCCCCATACCAGACCCACAGAATTGGAATCTGCAATTTAACAATATCTCCAAAAAGTCTGCATGCAGATTAGAGTCTGAGAAGCCCTCATCATGTGATTTTTTTTCCCCCCAAGGTCATACAGTTGGGTGTCTGGGTTCTTCCCTTGATCCAGGTATCATTTTTCCTTACTATCCCATGTCATTTTTCTTTTTTTTTTTTTTTTAAAGATTTTATTTATTTATTTATTGTAAAGATTGAGAGAGAGAAAGAGAGTGCCAGCACACACGAGTGGGCAGGCGGGGTGGGGAGAAGGGCAGAGGGAAAGGAAGAAAGAATCTCAGGCAGACTCCATGCTGAGAACAGAGCCCAACATGGGGCTTGGTCTCATGACCTGAGATCATGACCTGAGCCAGTATCAAGAGTTGGACGCTTAAGCAACTGAGTCACCCAAGTGCCCCTATCCCATGTCCTTATTATCTCCCTACTGTACTTACTTTCTCACTTTGTTTAATTACAACACTTTATAAGAATTTATAGGTCAGTCAGGCCATTGAAGCCCTAGAAAACCCTCCATGTCTCAGCCTCATTCTGGTTTACAAGTGCTTGCTTGGCAGACATCGGATAAAGGCCCAGATCCCTACGATGGCGTTTTCCCTAAAAAAAATCCCTGTTGGGATTAAAGCCAACCTTGGAACCAGTGGGGCACCAGGCATCAATCTGTATGGTACACTTAGTTTTGGTGATACAATGGCTGCATTTAGTTTTTTGGACTGCACAGCTCAGGAATAACATGCAGAGCAGGCCATGTACTTGCCTTAAAAGTGTCACAACCTGACTATCCGATTGGAGAGTCAAAGTAAGTGCTGGTGATCTTCCAACATAAGCATTCTCACTCAAGGTAATTGGATAGTAGGTCACCAAAAGGAAGTGGATTTGGAAATAGCACTAGGTTGTCCTAGAACTTTGGGAGATCCATTCTCAGACCTTTTTAATACATTGTTTTTCTGCTACTAAAACAGAGTGGACTCATAGTAGGCACACAGTACACAAGAATGGATGAATGATAGCGAAGGGAAGGAAAAATTCTTCTCTACCTTCAAGATCTTCCAACTGGACTTAAATTTATATGAGACAGATTAACAGAAGAAAAAAATCCAACGGTTATTACACGTACACAGAGGCCCAATAATGAAATTGAGACCTAAAGAAATGACCAAGGCAGGAAGTTTTTATACTTTTCAGACAGAGAGACAATATATCTGTGAAGAATTGACAGGATATAGAAAAGTTAACTTTGAAAGCTTCAATTAGTAAGGAATTCTAAACAGAATTTGGGCTGGGGTAGTAAATTAGTAAAAAGTAGCTAGGGTTGTTTATAAAGCCTTCTTGGCTCTAAATTTCCCATCTCTGGTGATAAGGCTGTCTCTTTACCTCCTGGTGCAGAGAGGGTACCTATCACATGGAAATTTATTTCCTGTTTTCAGGGGACAGAGGAGGGTCTGAGTGTCCTTCCTACATAGATTCTCTTAAATAACTTTTATTTAAAATAATAATTATGCCAAAATGGCACATTTGGGGGCAGCCTGCCTTTGGCCTCTACCGTAGGGAGAGGTGTAATTACAAAACCAGGCAGTATCTGATGGCTAAAAGACTTGAAAACAGGTCAAGAATGTTGACATTTATGTTAGTGAATCCCCCTCAAGAACTCTAAGTACCTAAACACTGACTTTACATCCCTCCAATATATACAGCGAGCGGGGCACACGGGAGTTGCTGGTTCTGGCCACTACTGTAACCCCAGCACGTCAGTGAATATTGACTGAAGAGTCCTGAGTCACCCTTTCCCCTTGGCTACCCACCTGGAGGGACCGGCTGGCGGAAGGCCGGAGTCCCCTCCATTGAGGCAGTTCCATTCACCAATGCAGCGTCTATCGGGATACTATCTTAGCTCTTCCAGCGAAGGTCCCAGGGTACTTCCAGAATGACTGCCTCGTGCCCAGCACTGACAGTTAATATTAGCGTTTGGTGCATTAACACGGTCATCACCGAAACCAGTTACTACCTAACAGGGCCAGGTGAGCCTTACGCGTTCCTCGGTTGACAGCCCCGCCCAGCGCCCATACACGACAGCGCCAGGCATTAGGGCGCACGCGCAGCTGGTAAACGCGGGTGGAGATAGCCGGGCACGCGCTCGCGCGCGGCCGCGCCGCCCCATCGTGCGAGGGGGAGGGCGACGCATGCGCGGGCGGCGGTGGCCTTAAGGGCGGCGGCGGCCCCCGGTGACCCAGTCGGCCTGTCAGCCGGCTCGTAGGCGCGGTCCGGGGCTCGCGCAGTGACGGCGGTCATGGCGGCGGAGGAGGAGGAGGTGGGCTCGGCGGACACCTGCGAGAGGTGAGCGCGGCCGGGACTTCGTGGGGTTCGGGATCGCGTCTTCCACGGGTTCAGGTCGGGCCGGGCGACCTCGCCGAGGATTCGTACCCCGCCTGTCCTCTCTGTCGTCCCGCCCGGCGTGAGACCGCGCTGCGCCCCGAGAGACGTCCGGGCCTGGCTCTGTCCCTGCCGGGCGCCCTTTGGCGCCGAGGCGCGGGAAGTGTGTGAATCCTACCCGGTAGCGCCAAGGGGCCGCCGCGATATTGTGTAAGCGTCTCCTCGGGGCCGGCGGCAAGGGTGGCCCGGCACCCACCCCCTGCTCGTCATCCGGGGACTCCTCGGACCCCGCCTGCCCGGGGGCGGCCGGCGGACGGTGGCCGGCCGTCCCCACACCTGCCTCGAGCCGGGGGAAACGGCTCAGTCACTCGTGCACTTCCAAGCGCGGCTTCTGTCTGCAGGTGCGCGCTGTTCTCTCTCGAGAGGACAAGAACGAATGCGCCGCCTGCGCAGAGCCTCCGGAGCCTGGAGGAAGGGGAGGCGCTTCCCTGGGGCCATAGGAGATGGAGAGCCCAAAATCACCCTGGAAAGTGCAGGAGATTAGGGGGTGTCGGGGGAAGGAGGATCCCAGCGTGAGGGAAAGGGGTTTGAGGGCGTGGGTATATGACTTTGGGTTTCAGAAAGCGTTTAATGTGTACTTAATGGAAAGAATGTTAACACGATATGGATATCAAGTTCAGAATTAATAATCTTTCAGAGATCTTCCTTTGCTTCTAAGTGTTCTGGTGTTAATGGAGAAGTGTGTGTTTGCGCCTCAGAACACATGTATGTCTAGGAAACTTTATGGAATTTGGAGGACAGATGTCCAACGTGAGAAACTTTTTGATACACAGATATACTAAGTTTAAATTATTCTCTTCCACCTGTAACTAACTTCATGCCCTTGTCAGTAGACAAATAGCAATTAATTAGTGGAAAAATTAAATTACGAATATTATTGCCGTATTTCTCAAGGCTGGTCATTTCTTTTGGAAAGTAAATAAACTTCTGTGTTTCTGTATATATGTTTAGTATTTTGACAATAATTCTACTTCAGATGTCTGGAGAAACTTGCATAGGAAGCATAACCTAAAGGATAGAAGGTAATATGGAATACCATGAAGACAGTTGTATTTGGAAGGATATGGGGTGGAGGAGGTGACAGTTTTGAAATATTAGAAACTAGGTTCTTCCCTTGAAGTTTGTTTACATTATGAATGGGTCCATTGTTTTGGTTTGTTGATGAACTTCCTTGTTGATGTTGAATGTCCTCTTATGGACATAAGTAGGAATCTAACTGGTAGCTTGTTTCCCACCTAGTTTGTCATAACATTTTTTGCTCTTTCTGAAAGTGCTTTTAGGTGGACTTTTTGGTCTCCATATTGTTGTGGGACCTGGGAGTCCAGGGCATGACTGTGAAAGGAATTTGTGGATTGGGTGATGTCCACAGGTCATTGGGGACAGAGTATAAAAAATCTTTAGCAGCTGAGCAGCCATAGTCCCATGACAGAGGTGGGCCTCCTTGGTACTCTTGGCAATATATTTGAGCAATGTCCAGTGTCCATACCAGTGTAGTCTTCTGAACTGTACCAAGCAGACAAGCAAGTACCTCCTCCTGCTAGGTGCTGCCTAAATGTGTTTATATTAAATCTAAGATCAACCTGTGTGCATGGTATTACTGTCCATTTTTCATTTGCAACTGCAACTGAAAGGACTACCAGCGCCCTACTAGCAAGTGGCAGTGCTGGATTGGAGTGCCCCAGGTGTCTAGATTTAGTTTAATGTCCTCTCCCATATTTCTGGTGCTTCTCAGTAGGACTGGGATTCATTTGAGATGTTTGGTTCTTGTCTCTTTTGCTTACTCTATTGACACTTTGTTATTTAATCCTTGCATTGATACAGAGCTTATTTGTTTAAAAAAATTTGGTTAATCAACAGTGGAACTATGCCAAGAGCCAATGTAGGTTGTGGGAATACAGGTCTTGAATCAAGTTCTCTATCTTTAAGACATTTCAGGTTTAGTTGGGGAATTGACATTAACAAAGGAAACAATTATAAAATGGTCATAGGAAGGCTTTTTGGTACCTATGATTCTTGTTTTGTGACTTTCTTAGTGAAGACAGGCATGCCTGGAAGCCATTTGGCTTTCAACATCTAACCCTTTTTCATTGCAATACAGTTGAGAAAGCTAAATGTAACAAGAATAGGGAAGACTTCTGTGAATTGCTGAAAGGTTGTCCCAGAGAATGATAGAGTTGAATGATCTGTTGAGTTTAGAGGAAAGCTGTGACAGAATTGCTCAGTTGCAGAGCAGATAGTAAAATAGGCGGTTTGCAGTGCTGTGTTGGAGTTGGCTTGTACTGTCAACCATTGCTAAGTTTTCAAGAATTTTGCCAACTTTTGGCAGCTTGAAATCAGCCATGGTGGTAGTATTTACATCATGGAAATCATAAAATGCTACAAGTAAAGGATTTTTTTCTCCCCTTCACCTCCAGTGGCTTTACCAGCCACCTACTGGATTTATATTAGAATTTGACTGTAGTCCTTTGCCTTGGAGATAGGATAGTGGGTTTTGCTATTTTTAAAAGACTGCTAAGATCAGTGACTCCTCTCTATTGCCATCTCTCCTTCCCAAATCCTTGCTATCCCGACTTCTTAAAAATCACAGCATTTCTCAATGATGCATTCCAATGGGCTTTTATTTTTCTGGGTACTTATCTTTCTTGGGTCTTTTTCAGTGTTTGACATTGTAAAGATAGCTTCTCCTTATTAAAATTCTTATCAGACATTGTAGTTCTTTTTTTTAAAGATTTTATTTATTTATTTGACAGAGAGATAGACAGAAGAGCACAAGCAGAGGGAGTGGCAGAGGGAGAGGGAGAAGCAGGCTCTGCACTGAGCAGGGAACCCAATGCGAGACTCGATCCCAGGACCCTGAGATCATGACCTGAGCTGAAGGCAGACGCTTAACCATCTGAGCCACCCAGGCGCCCAGACAGACATTGTAGTTCTTAAGACATTTTGCTTCATGCCTTACTTTAGGCCAATAGTCACTTTTATTAGGTTCTATTCTTTTTCTCATTCTTTAAATGTCATAATTCTCCAAGATTCTATCTTCATCTTTCATCTGTGTTTTAATATTTTGTCTTGTTTACTTATACTCCTTGAAGCATTTTTTCTGTGGAGAGAACTGAAATCTCATCCTCATGATGGAGTCCTCTTTAGTACTCTGATGATGTTTCTAATTGTGTGCCAGATGTTTGTACCTTATTCCTCAAATGTAACATGTCCAGACTTGGATGTCATTTTCACCTTTCTTCCCCTGAACTAAACAATACAAAAAGTCCAGTTCTTCCCCTTGACTTATCTGTTTTCATTAGGGCACTTAGATTCTTCTGGTCATCCAGGTTCAGAACTGTGGCCTGATCTTTTGACTGCCCCCTTCCATCTTCATTGCCCTGAATACCAAATCTACCAAGTCCAGTAGATTCTAAGTACATCATCTTTCCATTTCCAATGTCTCCTGGGAATCACTTGGTTCTGACCCTTCATATACCCTTTTTTGGTTTATAGCAGGCTTTATTTATTTATTTTTAAAAATATTTTATTTATTTATTTGACAGAGAGAGAGTGAGAGCACGCACCAGAGCACAAGCAGGGGGAGCAGGAGCCGGAGAAGCAGGCTCCCCGCTGTGCAGGGAGCCCAATGTGGGACTAGATGTGGGGCTCGATCCCAGGACCCCGGGATAATGACCTGAGCTGAAGGCAGATGCTTAACCGACTGAGCCACCCAGGCGCCCCTATAGCAGGCTTTAGTAACCCATTTTGTTCCTGTGCTTTCAACATAGCTTATTTCGTCAGTTACTTTTCTCTCCCCAAGAGGCACAGTCTTGTTTGTAGCAGCCACATGCAGTGACTTTATTATAGGTGCTCAGCCTGACTTAAAGCCCTTTGTAGGCAGCTTGGCTCTTCTCTATCTTTGGAGTCTTATTTCCTCCCTGTGCACTGGGCTCTAGCCAAGCTTTCACTGTTTCCTAAACATGTTCCTTGCTCATCCTATTTCCCCTCATGTCTTGGTTCACATGGTTTTCTCTGAACCAAAACAGATTGTTATCTCTCTTCTCCAAAGGCCTATGGTATTTTCCTAAGCTTTCGTTGTGGCACTTACACCATGTTTTGTAATGTAGGTATTTGTTTTGTCAGCTCATTGAGGTCAAAGCTTTTGTCTTACTTAAATGTCTGGTAGAGCCTGAAGGGGCTTCATAAATAGTAAACTTCAATAAATGTTTATTGAATTAAACACTTAAATATTGTAAATTTATGCTGACACAACATTAAGATAAAAAATCTAGTTATTGATAATATATTTTGCAGCTTAGTAGCGATATTTTTTCATCCTAAGATATTCAAAGAACATCAAAAGATATATTCATAAGAAATCAAAGTTTGAATTTGACTAGGACAACAACTAAGATCATAAACTTAAGTTATATTGGGAGGTTGGGAATATGATTCTATTTCTTAATCTTGGGTGAACTAACTCATGCTTCATTGTTTTGCCTGTTCTTCAAAATGCCAGTCACAGACCAGCAAATGGAGATTTCAGTCCTGTGACAAAGACTTAACAAACGATTGTAAAGTCCCAGGATGGTCCACTTAATAAAAACAATGCTGGATAATACATTTGAGAATTACAGATGACTCTGAATGGAGTCCTTAAGGATTTGACTTATATTCTTTATGATAGCCATTCAGAAATATTATATTGTTAGGTTTTTAGTCTAACCTCATTGTTCTATAATTCTTCATTCCTGATTGTGAATCATAAAGAATTGTGTGGAAAGATGATTTTATTATTATTTTTAAAAGATTTTATTTATTTATTTGACAGAGAGAGACACAGCGAGAGAGGGAACACAAGTAGGGGGAGTGGGAGAGGGAGAAACAGGCTTCCCGCTGAGCAGGGAGCCTAATGCAGGGCTCAG